ACTGGGGATGTGCCCGCAACCAAGGTACATGCCCTTGACTGGAATTGAACCTGGGACCCTTCAGTCCGCAGGCCGACACTTTATCCACTGAGCCAAACCGGTTAGGGCTAGACATTTTTTTTTGGCAGATGAATCTATGATTTTTTTTTTTAAATATATTTTTATTGATTTCACAGCAAAAGTGAGAGGGAGAGAGAGATAGAAACATCAATGATGAGAGAGAATCATTGTTTCTGCCGCCTCCTGCACACCCACCACTGGGGATCGAACCCACAACCCAGGCATGTGTCCCTTACCGGAATCAAACCTGGGACCCTTCAGTCTGCAGGCCTATGCTCTATCTACTGAGCAAAACCAGCTAGGGCAGAATCTTTTCTTTAAAATAAATGTTTGTTAGGAATTCCTGTGTATAAATCTGGTCATAGCTGCTCTTACTCTGCCTTTTAATAACTTTGGCTGTTTTTATTTCCCTTCAGACCACTATGAAGATTTCTTTATTTTAAAAACTTAGCATTGTATTTTAGTACAACTAGACAGTTGGTTTGTTTTTGTCTTTGTCAGTCATTCCTGTATCTTTTTTTTCCCTTTAACCTTATATCCAAACTTTTAGTACTAATTTAAGGATGGTTTTCTACACACTTACATGCAGTTGCTATAATTTCTAGCTACCAGCTATAAAATAGGGTTTGTATTTGTTTCATAGCTGAAATAATTAAGAGGAACAGTTCACAACTACAGTAGATTGATTAAGGTTTTTGGGCTTTTGGGGCCTTGAATCAAGACATTATGTTTAAGTATAAAAATGGTAACCTTTAAGTATAAATTTATGCTTAATTTTAGTCAGTGCTATGTGGGTAATGCTACTGGAGAGCTGCTCTATACAAAAAAACAGCCTTCCTACAGGGTAATGTCATCTTCAGTGAGCCTTGATAGTGATTTGCAGAGACTTCTTTCCCACCCATTGGTTGCTTATAATAATGCAACCTTTCCTTCAAACACTAGCTCATGGTTCAAAGTTTAGAGAATTAATTCTTAATATTTAAGAATTAGTTGAAAATATTTTAAGAATTTGCTTTGTCCTTTTAAAAATAGTTATAAATTTTACTTAGGTAAGATGCTAAACATTTAGATTTTACTTAAATATAAAGAAACTAGAGGCCCAGTGCACAAATTCGTGCACCAGTGGGGTCTGGCCTGGCCTGCGGGATCTGCCAAAACCGGTTCTCTGACATCCCCCATGGGGTCCCAGATTGTGAGAGGGCGCAGGTCAGGCTGAGGGACCCCAGCGGTGCACGATGGGGGCCGGGGAGGGACGCAGGAGGTTGACCAGCCAGGGAGGGACCGCAGGAGGGCTCCAGGGCATGTCCGGCCCATCTCCCTCAGTCCCCATTGGCCGGACCCCAGCAGCAAGCTAACCTGGTCGGAGCATCTGCCCCCTGATGGTCAGTGCACATCATAGCAACTGGTAGATCGGTTGATTGTCTGCCCCCTGGTGGTCAGTGCATGTCATAGTGACTGGTCAACTATTTGCCTCCTGGTGGTCAGAGCATGTCATAGTGAGCAGTTAAGCGGCCTTGACATCATTAGCATATTACGTTTTGATTGGTTGAATGGATGACCGGACACTTAGCATATTAGGTTTTTATTATATAGGATTGGGATAGATAATTTTTTAAAAATATATATATATTTTATTGATTTTTTACAGAGAGGAAGGGAGAGAGATAGAAAGTTAGAAACATCGATGAGAGAGAAACATCGATCAGCTGCCTCCTGCACACCCCCTACTGGGGATGTGCCCACAACCAAGGTACATGCCCTTGACCGGAATCGAACCTGGAACCTTTCAGTCCGCAGGCTGATGCTCTATCCACTGAGCCAAACCGGTTACGGCAGATATTTTTTTTATGGTGTACTGAACATACTATTGATAGTTAAATGCTTCCTTTCTTTTATCCTGCCTCTCCCTTGCCATCCTATATAATAAAAGCCTAATATGCTAAGTGTCCAGTTGTCTAGTCAGCCATTCAACCAGTCAAAGCATATATGCTAATGATATGCTAAGTCCACTCAACCGCTCGCTATAACGTGCACTGACCACCAGGGGGTAGACGTTCTAACCAGTAAGTTAGCTTGCTGCTGGGGTCCAACAGATCGGGACTGAGCAAGACGGGCTGGACAAGCCCTGGAGCCCTCCCGCAGTCCCTACCCAGCTGGCCAATATCCCGCGTCCCTTCCTGGCCTCGATCATGCACCAGTGGATGGTTTCATGGATGGTTTTGTGCACAGTTTTGGCCCGATCCCACTCAATGCAGGAGCTGGCCCCTGATGGTCAGTGCTCTCCCACAGGGGGAGTGCTGCTCAGCCAGAAGCCGGGCTCATGGCTGGTGAGTGCAGCGGCAGTGGTGGGAGCCTCTCCTGCCTCCAGGGCAACGCTAAGGATGTTCGACTACTGGCTTAGGCCCGCTCCCCCTGGGAAGCAGGCCTAAGCCATTAGTTGGACATCCCCCGAGGGCTCCTGGACTGAGAGAGGGCACAGGCCGGGCTGAGGGACCCCTCTCCCCCAAATGCATGAATATCGTGCACTGGGCCTCTACTATATGTATAAATGCAAATTCTTGGAATAGCAGAAAGAAAGGTTTTGCAGGGGCTTTATGGACTATAGTATAATTGAATGATTGATTTGTTTAAAGGGAATGGGTTGAGGACTTTATAAAAATGGTATGGTAAATCCTTTGGTTTTTTTGTGGTGTTTGCATGTGTTTATTATTTCATTATACTTATGTATCATTAGAGTTAACAATATAATAGAATGGCATCAAAATTAATGTCAGAAATTGATATTTGTCAGGATCTGAGGATACCCATCAAAATGAAAATCAATAAATGTGAAGGAGGTTGGGAAGCTATTAAAAGTTCTTTACAATGAGTGAATTTCTGGAGGAGGAGAGGAAGTGACTTTGATTTTGTAGCTATGATAACTTTTCTGAGTCCCAGTCTTTTGTGAGGTTGCTACCTTACTTTTGTGCATGACTTTTTAGTTAGACTTGGAGTGAGACTTGATATGTCAAAAATCTTTGTCACATTTCTTTAGTTAATTTCACTTTTTTTTGCAATAGTGTCTTGATCACTATAAATTCCAAAGCCCCAAAGTCAACTTCTTTTTCTGTTTCCTCAAACCACTTTTCTCTGACCTATTTCTTATGATATTGACATTCTCCTAAATATCTTGTAAACTGCAAAACCTTTCTTTCTGCTATTCCTTCCACATTCAGTTACTGAGTCCTATCAAATAAGAACTTTTTAGACTGGAATTAGAGGCTTTTCTTAGTCTGGCACCCAACTACTTTTCCATTTTTATCCTTCTCTATTCCCTTACATGCACCCCTTGTTGGATTTTAATCCCCTTGAGGATAGGGACTTTGTTTATGTAAATATTCTCCATGGTCCCGTGTAGTAGTAATGTTCAACTAGTAGTTTGGTTTGAATTAGTGACTATGCACGTACAGACATATTTTCACTTCCAGTGTAAAACGCTCCAAGTAGTCACTGACTTAGTGGAAGTTTGATGTCTGTATAAAACATTATCTGCTGTCTTATTCTCTATTCCTTTTGCACATTTGCCTTTTTCCCCCCTGCTTGCTTGGAGCACAGATATCTTTCTGATTGAAACCTATGCTTCCAGACTAGATGATGTGTTTCTCCTCTGTGCCTTTACCACTGTATTATAAACTGTATCATAATTGTCTGATGACTTGTTTCACTGTAGCTATATTCTAGAGTTAACTCCTTGAGGGCAGGATTTAGCATACTACCTGGTATATATACAGGAATCAATATTGATTTGTTGCATGAAATATTTCCTAAATGGAGCATAAACATTTAGAGTGCAGTGATTTCTTAGTTGGTTATCCTAGAGTTTTTCTGAACTTTACTTTGCATCCTGATAATAGCTAAAGTATATGTGTTCTGGAGCTGAGTATTTCCGTCACTATTCCAGAGCAGCAGAGCTTTCTTCTTCCAGAGAAACCTCGTGAAACATTGATCTATTATCCAGCACAGAGTAGACATGCAGGATGTTTACAGCTGGGATAATTCATTTGGTCCAGAGATTTCTATTTAATATAGTCAGCTCAGCTTTCCATATAAAGCTTTTTTTTTTTTTTACAATTAGAACAGTGAATAAAATGAACTGCATGAGGCTATTAGTTTATTATTGATATAGGTGCTTAGGATGCAAATATCCTTTCTTTCATTATTTGGCTAACTTTGAGTGTCTTTTGTGTCAGGCATTGGCTAGTGGCAAATACTGGTAGCAACTTGAATTTAGTAAGAAGATAACTGTAGCCTGGGCACTTACTTCCCATCATTTTGTTTTACCCAGCTACCTGTCTCCTAGTATTAATGATTTAAAACAACAACTATTTTATTATTTCTCAAGATTCTGTGGATTTATGGTCTTGCCTGAGCTCTTTCATTTGGCTGTTTTCAGTTGGTAGTTTAGCTGGTTGACTGGGCTCAGCTGAGATGGCTGAGCCTCTCTCTCCATGTGGCCTTTCATTCTGGGCTTTTTCATGGCTTGGTGATTTCAGAGTTCCAAGAGAGCCAGGCCCTGTGTGCTTGTCTGCTTGCATCACGTATGCTGGTTTTTTTGGGCTAAAGCAAGTCACATGCCAAATCAGGGGGAGAGGCATGGTTCATTGGGAGCCATTGAGGACTTTTTGGTTTTACCAGTACTAGGGATTGACAGTTTTATTTCATAATGGTTGTTGCTGTGGAAAGGTAGTGAAATGAAACTTTCTGGCATTAGGGTTTGGTATATTAAGTCCTGGTTGCTGTAAGAGTAATTCATGTTTCCTAATCTGCCTTAATCATTTTGATGATTGTTTTTATAGCTGGAGAAGCTCTTAGATCTGGAAGGTACCTTTAGAGCAGTGGTTCTCAACCTTCCTAATGCCGTGACCCTTTAATACAGTTCCTCATATTGTGGTGACCCCCAACCATAAAATTATTTTTTGTTGCTACTTCATAACTGTAATTTTGCTACTGTTATGAATCGTAATGTAAATATCTGATATGCAGGATGTATTTAGGTGACCCCTGTGAAAGGGTCATTCGACCCCCAAAGGGGTTGCGACCCACAGGTTGAGAACCTCTGCTTTAGAGGTTATTTATTTATTTATTTCTGATTTCAGAGAGAAAGGGAGAGAGAAATACTAATGAGGAGAGAGAATCGTTGATTGGCTGTCCCCTGCACACCCCACACTGGGGATTGAGCCTAGAACTCGGGCATGTGCTCTGATAGGTAATTGAACTGAGACTTTTGGTTCATAGGTTGATGCTCAACCACTGAGCCACACTGGCCAGGCCCTTCAAAGTCTCTTTTAGATAAAGAAACTGGGGCTTAGAGATGAGAAAAGACTTGCCCAAGGTCGTACAACTTGTAGGTGTCAGTGTTGGAGCCAGAATCTGGTCACTTGACTCTTGTTCCAGTAATTTTTCAGTTGCACAGTATTCATAGTACTCTCAACTCTCAAGGAAGTATGTGGAATATAGTTTGGATTCTTAAGCAAGCCTAAGGAATTATTTCAAGGATTAGAGGTGAAGATACCTTTCAGTAATGCTAAAACCTTCTTTATCAGCCTTATTATATCATTTAGAGTCTGTTTCCAGTTGTTGGTAGCATCTGAGTTAAATGTCCTTTAGTGATAATGTGTGAGACAAAATACTTACCGTTAGAATTTTTACCTCCATATTTTAAATACATGACTTCTTGAGGCAGTAAAAAGAAAATGATATAAAATTTTAAAAGCTACATTTTAATCTATGTTATTAGATAACATTTTTGAGAGGAATTTTAAGAAGTATTTATATATTGATTTTTTATTAATTTTTTTTTTTTAGGTTTCTTCCCCTGAAGTTTCACTATATGTAGCCACAGTATTAAAATATTGAAGGCCTTTCTTGATAAAATAATTTTCTTCTTCTAGAATTGGAGGCATATGCTGGAGTTATCAGTGCACTTCGGGCACAGGGGGATCTCACCAAGGAAAAGAAAGATCTTCTTGGAGAACTCTCAAAAGTTCTTAGGTAAATTATCATATAAGTTTGTGAGACATGACTCTAGAATTTTCGTGTTGAGGGGTTTCAGTACTTTTCACACTCAGATTGAAGACAGGTCTTCAAGTTGTTGGTGCTTAAAGATCCCATCTCAGTTGTGTTCTTTGTTACAGAAAATTATGCAGTTTACCATTTATTCTGTAATATAATCAGAAAGGGTTTAAGACAGGTTATTTTAGGCTTGGGCCAGCTGCGAAAGGAAAGTATTTTTGACATGGGTAGAGGAAAGAAGAGTTGGCAGCAACTGGATATGAAGATCTAGAGTGGCCCAGTTACTTTTTAAAAAAAATATGTTTTTATTGATTTTAGAGAAAGAGGAAGGGAGAGGGATAAAGAGATAGAAGCATTGATCAGCTGCCTCTTGCGTGGCCCTGACTGGGAATTGAACCTGCAACCTCTTGGTCCATGAGTTGATGCTCAACCACTGGGGCATACCTGCTGGGCTCACACTTTATTAAGGAGAAGAAGGAGATACTAGGCAGTTGTCTTAATTTATAGAATGGTGATTATGTAGTCATAGTCTTAAGGATAGTTTATCCCTTCAGCTTCCCATTAGAGTGGCACTTGAATCCATTAAAAAATTCTTTTAAAAAAAAATTTCTTTATTGATTTCAGAGAGGAAAGGAGAGGGAGAGAGAGAAATGATGAGAGAGAACCATCGATCCATTGCCTCCTGCACACCCCCTACTGGGGATCGAGCCTGTAATCTGGGCATGTGCCCTTGGCCGGATTCGAACCTGGGACCCTTCAGTCCACAGGCTGACGCTCTATCCACTGAGCCAAACCAGCCAGGGCTAAAAAAGTCTTATAGAAGGGGTTCTTTGATATTTTGATTAAGCCATTCTAATATCTTAAGCTTTCTCAGAAAATGTTCTGTTTTAACTGAAGTTTCCTTTCTGCATTTAAAAACAATTTTTTAAAAAGTGGAAGTAGGGAAAGGGTTTTTCCTATATTTAATTAACATTAATACAGGGACATTATTAAGCCAAAACCTTAATCTTACTGTCTTCATATTAAATAATTTATGTTTTTTGTTGTGTATAATTCCTCATAAATTCTGCTTTCTAGCCCCTTAAATTTATTTTAGTCCATGGTGTAGATTTAGCTTACACAGTAAACACTACAATTTTAAGAGTGGTATTTATTTTATTACTTTTGAATGGAATGCTATAGCCTTTTTTCAGTTGTTTAGTATTAACTTTACATGTATTTAACCAGGTTCAATGTTAGCACATTTTTACCATAGTGGTAACATGACATGCTGTAGAAGACACATAGCTGAAATGTGGAGTAACAAAGGAGTAATATCCTGGTGTTAAGTTTCATAGCAAGTTGCCACTAGAAACAGATTATCTTGTCACTTTCATTTCTTTATTATATTCATTGAACATAAATTACAGACTCGTGAGCTTTAGAAAGGACTTCAGAAGACTTTCTCCTGAGTGATTAGGGGTCATTCAGTGGCTGTTTGCATACTTAGATAATAGGAACCTATACTAATTTGAACATGGTCTGACATTACTGAGTTTTTTGAGGCAATGACTTCAGATCAAGTTGAATTTGTCTTCCCTTGGTTTCAGATTTTCAGCTAATTCTTTTTGCAGTTACACAGAACCAGTCTGAATCTTTTTCTTTGAATTTAATTAAATAAAGCATTTGAAGATAAATGTTAGATCCCATCTGTATCTTTTCACAAATCAACTTTGCCCCCCAACCCCAAGCAAAATGTTGGCTTAAACATTAATAAAAGTATAGAAAAGAGCTGCCTGCTTGACAGAGTTCTATAATGGCTATTTTTTTTCATAGCATCTCAACAGAACGCCACCGTGCTGAAGTTCGGAGAGCAGTAAACGATGAACGGTTAACAACAATTGCACATAAGTAAGCCATTAGTCATACCACCCCTGATTTTTTATGACATAGTATAATATAGTTTTGAAACAGTCTTCCTATTGTGTAGCAGATTCCTGAGTCTTTTATTTTAAGACTGCTCTACTCAGGGATCCTGACCATAATGCTATTACCTGTTTATTCAATTGGTTATGTTTTTGCATTTGGTTAGGCAAGCTTTAAATACTCAGTTCAAATCCCGTTACAATGTAATCTCTATAAAACTAAAGACCCCCAGAATTTAGCAGATGATTCACTTGAAGCAAAGTTCAGTAACAAAGTAGTGTGCTCCCCAAATTTGACATTCCCTTAGAGGGTCTTTGTAATGGTATTTGATATATATATTGCTTTATAAATAGGCATTCTAAATTTTTAGATAACTGACTAATATGTCACATGTTTTGAGATTCACAAAAAGATTATAAAATATATGTTCTGCTTTTAAGAAATATGAATACAATATATTTTGTAAAAGCCAACAAAATACAATTATAAAGGATTCTTATCAAATTATTTTTAAATCATTATAACTGTTTGACTGATGGGGTAGAGGGTGGTGGAGGACTAAGGGCAAGGGTCAAACAGTAGAGTATGTATGGAGACAGTGCCTCCTAAAGAATAGAAAGGAACAGAAATTAATCCTTTAAATGTTAATGCAAGATGATGGGAACATAAAATATATTATAATTCATTTGTTTTTTATTTTTATGATGTGATAAATAGTGCATTTAAATTAATTGACCCTGAAGATCCATTAGCTTCATGTTGTGCTTCACTGCTCCTCATTTTACTTAACCTATAAAATGGAGTGCTATCTTTTTAACCTCATAGTTCAAAAGTTTAGCTATTTGAATTTTGAGAGCTTTCAGTGGTAGATATGTATGCACTCTAGAAAGCTGGCAGTTTTCCATTAGAGATATTAAATATTTAGTTGTCAGACCAACATGGTTGAAACATTAAAATATTAATGTGTTTATTCTTTAATATGCTGTAAATTTTTGAATTGGTATGCTCAAAAAGTAATAACTGAGCCTAGATTCTAATTTGAGAACTGGTAATGAATGGCAAAGTAATGTGCTAGATAATAAAGTAGTTAACAATAGCTTGTATACAGAGGCACTTAGATACAATATTAGTACCTTAAAACCATTGGAACAGTATTGTGGGGCAATAGTTGTAAGTTGATGCATCAGTGTCATACTTAAGGATAACATTTATTTAGTCTCCTTTTCCTTTTTTCCCCTTTAAAGAATGAATTTATCCTTATATTTGGGTGAAAGACCAAGTTACAGGTATGCAAATAGGTTATTATTATTTCAGGCTTTTTCTTGTATTTATTTCAAAATTGAAGCTCTCAATTATTCAGGGGCGCATATTCCATTTACAAATTAACCTTGCCCCTTGCTTTCCCTTCTCTTCCCCTTCTCCCTCACCTAATACTGCCCACCCTTTAGCCATTTTGTTGCTTGGGAGTACTTTAGTCAGAGGGTGGGAAGGGAGAGGAGGTGAAATTTTTAATTAGTTATTTTATTACTTATTAGTTGTCCTGGAGAAGTTTGGTGGAATAATTTTCAAGTATTTACCAAAATATTTTTAGATAATATGTGCGTTTCTTTAATCTGCTTGACCTCTCCCTTTCCCTCCTCTATCTATTAGCATGGATAATTGAGAGTTGGCTTTTATCTGCCTGTGTTCCCCTCTCCCCTTCTGATTTCTTTAATACACGAATTTAATTTTTTGAAGAGTTTACTTCAGTGTATAATTTTAAGCTTCTTAGGTTTTTCCATATTTCTGTTTTAATATTTTATATTGTGGTTTTAGTTTGATCAGATGTCACATTTATTTGTTGAATCCAAAAGTCAGAGTGGCAGTGATGAGGAAGGCATAGATCCTTCATTTGCTCCATCTCCTCTGCCTTTCCCTAAGAGATAGCAACAGAACCTGGTTTCAAAGGATATCTGTAGGAGGGTGTCATACTCTGAGCCTGAAAAAAGCAACTCTAGCCAAGGAGGAATGCATCTGAATTTTGACTGCATTCCTTTTCTCTTCCTTCCCTCCCCCACTCAAAACATCAGCTTAGGCCCAAGGAATGTGGTTGAAAGGTGAAGAGAAAACTGAGAAGAGCACAAAGGAGGTAGAAACAAAAGGAGTGGGATGTCTGGGATCAAAGAAAAACCTTGCCTGTGGCTTGAAGCATAACACTTACTTATTATTTGGTACCAGGCCATTTATTAAGTTTGATTCTCTAATTCAGTTTTGAAACATGTCAGAATATTATAGTATTAAAGCCTGGAATGTCAAGGGGCTTCAGAGTCTTTAATTTGTCCACTCTTGCCAGCATTGTTCTAGAGTTCAAAGAAAGTGATAATCTGGAATTATTGTTCTCTTAACCCCTTTTTCATCAGCCCAACATCATAGGAGACTGTGTGAGTTTCTATGTGAGGATGAGGATTTCTTGCTGGTGCCCTGCACACCAAAGGATATGAGGGCCAAGGTAGTTTTATTAGTATCATGTTAGATCTCTCAGAAAAGGGGCTGGAACAAGGTTTCCACCCTCCTTTGCCATCTTAATATAACTTAGGTGTGCCAGAGAAGCCCTGGAGTAAGATGTTTACAAAAATTTCTAAAATTTAGTTTAGATGATTTGTGCAACGAATGCATATTTATACCCTCATTGCTAAGCAGAGAGGAATTTTTTATCTAATTATAACATGATGTTTAATTTTTCCTAACTTAAAAAAAGTTTGAGCATGTTTGCATGAGTAGAAATTTGGAAGATTTATAGATTAAAAGCTGCAGTGTGTCTTTTGCGCTGCAAATTTTGTCTTTTCAATAGCATATATTCATGTGTTCGAAATTATTAATCTTCCATAATTTCTGCCACCATTTAAACAATGCACCAGGTAAGTGTAGATAACACTTTATTTGTGTGGTAAACTCTCACTAAGCACATTTATTAGTGATATTCTAACAAAATGGTAGCAAAATAGGAGTTAGCCAAGAAAATGCTGAATATCTTTTAGAATTTTTTCTTTTGACAATTAGCTATAGCTGTTTCCTGCCTCTCTTGTTTATACCACTCTGTTTCAGAACTAGCATCAATGTGGAGATAACGTGTTTGTTAATAGATCTGTGAGAGGGTCTTGGGAAATCCTCTTTCTCTTGTCTTGGGTAGGACTGTGTTAAATGATGAGGAAATTTGCATATTTCCCACAGTAACCCAATTGAATTCATTAACTCCTAGAAATTCCTTTCTGAACAGAATGTAAATCCTTCTCAAGTTGTAATTTATTTGTTCTATTTAGTGAAAGTTGGTAGTAATTAGATAGCAGTGCTTGATTAGTATAAATCAAAAGCAAAAGTTAGACATAAAACACATTTGAAAATCTTTATATACTCTACTTGTAATGTGGTGAATAATTTCAATAGCATGATATATGCTTGTTAAAGGAGGCATTTATTAGCTGTGTGACCTTAGGCAACTTAATTAAACTCTGTTTCCACATCTACAAAATGAAGATAGTATTACTAATTTCATAGGATTTTTTAAAGAATTACATTAACTCAGTGTAATTACATGTAGAATGTTTAGTACTAAAGTACAGATATAGTAAGTGCTTAATTGATGTTAGCTATCATAATTACCATCATCATTATCATTATTCCACTATCCCCTAATAAGGGCTTTTCTGTACTCTGAATATGAAGAATCAGTGGACAGAGAGAGTCTTAAACTCTAGGTTGGGTTGTAGAATCTTTGGTTTTGCAAAAGGTACAGAAATATTTCTGATTTAGTGAAGAGATTGATTGATTGACTCTAAGTGAATTTTAAACTTCAACCCTAATCATTAATCAGGAGAAGTGACATAACTACCTTTTACAGAGCCAAGTAAAGAGAGGAGATGCAACTATCTTTTCATATTTCAACCTCTGTTTGGATTCCTGGGATAAAATTTGCTCAAGAGCTTAGCCAGTTTTGCGCAGTGCTTAGAGCAGCCGTGGGCAAACTACGGCCCGCGGGCCGGATCCGGCCTGTTTGAAATGAATAAAACTAAAAAAAAAAAAAGACCGTACCCTTTTATGTAATGATGTTTACTTTGAATTTATATTAGTTCACACAAACACTCCATCCATGCTTTTGTTCCGGCCCTCCGGTCCAGTTTAAGAACCCATTGTGGCCCTCGAGTCAAAAAGTTTGCCCACCCCTGGCTTAGAGCATCGGCCCGCAGACTGAAGGGTCTCAGGTACAATTCTGATCTAGGGCACGTACCTTGGTTGCAGTCGGGGCACGTGCAGGAGGCAACCAGTCAATGTGTCTCTCTCACATGGATGTTTCTCTCTTGTCTTTCCCACTCCTTTACACTTTTTAAAAAAAATCAATGGAAAAAATATCCTCAGGTGAGGACAAACAAACAAAAAAATTTTTGCTCAAGAAGTTGAGTAGAGAAACAGAATAGTGTCTGCTTAAGGATAGAGTTCAGCAGCCTCAAAATCCTTAACAGTGAAGAGTGGTATAAATAAATAAAATTAAAATAGTGGCAGATTTCTCCCAGTGTCCTCAGATCTAGTCTTTTAAAAAATAATATAAGGATAATAATATAATACATTGCCAGTAAAATATGCAGTGATATATACAGCCTTCTTCTACCCCTCAAGTTTCCCTCGTTTACTGCCTCAGTTGTCCATCTTTGAAAGCCTTCGAACCTCTGGTCATGCAGGCAGTTAGATAATTTTGCAAAGGTTCACTGAATTCCATCCTTAATTATTGAGGAAAGTCTGATTTTTAAAATATAGTTCTTTTTACCTTTCTAGTTTAATTATAAAATTAAGTTCTAAAAGTTAGTAGAAAACCGGATTTCATTCATACCACTGGATTTAAACTAATGAAAATAATAGCAATATTTATTTAGAAAGCATAGGAAAATATTTTATATTTTCAATTATGTTCATTATAATATTCAGATTATAGAATAAGATATGTAAGAAACTAAGTATATGTGAAATTCCTTGAATTCTAATTATTCATAATTTTGATCTTACTTGCTTAAAATGAAGCCTCTCCTATTCACCTAGGATACTTTTTAAATGCAAAAAGTTATATTTATTTGAGCAAACATATTTGATTCACTTTCATTGATTGAGAACTCTTGTAGCAGCGTTTTCTTTTTTGTTCAGTATGTCTGGACCTAATAGCTCTTCAGAATGGTCCATTGAAGGTCGTCGATTGGTACCACTGATGCCCCGGCTGGTTCCTCAAACTGCCTTCACTGTAACAGCTAATGCTGTTGCCAATGCAGCTATCCAGCACAATGCATCTCTTCCAGTGCCTGCAGAAACAGGAAGCAAGGAAGGTGAGTAGAAAAATATTTGTGTATAGAGATGACTTTTCTTAAATTCTTCAAGAAAAGTTGTCTTATTATTTATCTGTTTATATGTCAGTGTTTAAAGGTTGCAAATCAGTGAGCAATTTTTATTCTGAAACTAGAAACTGCTAAGTTTTTAGTCTCAGCCAGAATTAAGTCCCCCTTTTATGCAAAGTGTGAATTATATTAATCACAAAATTGCAAAAAGCCTTCTTGGAATGAATTTTTGAGATTTGTGTGTTTTGTTAGGAGTGAATAAAAGGTTTTAATGGGTGACATGGGAAATAAGTAAGATGATAGAAGTTACTTAGCTGCTGGGGAAAGATGCTGAACTTATACTTTAGAATATAAAGCTCTGTTTTTGTCTTCTGGAATCAGTGGTATATGCTGCTTCTCTATTCCACTCAATGTGCCAAATCCATTAGGGATTACTTGGCAGATGAAGAAAGCTTTCTTTTACTTAATCTAGTAGTTGACAAATACTTTAAAAATCTTTGAATTCTCCTGAGGTTGCCAAGAGTAATATTAAATTTGAGAGTGCACATTGGATTGACTTTCAGTAGCTTACTTTGGTGTTGCATGAAAATGACCCTGAAAATAATGCAGTTGTCAGCTGACTGGGGGAATTGTCTTTTTGGAATAGCAGTGGGCTGTGGAGCAAAGTGAGATATCCTTTTTGTGCATGCCAGGTTAGGTTCTCTTTTTAAGCTGAAGAAAGCTATACAGGTATTCAGAGACAGTTACCAGTATGCAAACTTTACCTTCATTGAGTTTCTGATTTGTTTGTTGTAGGAGAGGTATCTTTTCTTCCCACTTAACCGTTTCTATCCACAACTCTGGTAGAGTGGAAAGAATATAGGATTTCCAATAGTCAAATCTATGTTTGAATACTAGTTTTGCCATTTCCTAGCTGTGTGACCTCCAGCAAGTTTTTAAGCTTCTGTCAACCTTGGATTCCTCATCTTTGAAATGTAGGTGTGGTATTATAACAATTAGTAATAATAGAAGACAAAGATTTAGTGTAGTACATGGTACTCAGTAAATGGTGCCTATGAGCTATTTTTGTTTCTTGTTGTTATTTAAGATATTGAAATATGATGTTGTCATTACTTTAGTTGAGTTATTGTTGCACTGCTTGGATGGCAAGTGACTAGTGAGTTGATTTATAATAAAGGAACCTTGCCTTGGTTTCCCCCTAGTAGCCAAGTTGGAAATTGCTATTGTTAGGAAAAAATTATCCATCCATCATTGGTGCTGCTATTAATATTAAAAGAGAATGCAAGTACTGTTTAACTCCTGCCATGAATGAAAAATGATTTTAATTTTTCTTAGATAGTTTTAGACTTGATTTCTTTGTAACTGCACTTTTCTTTATTGGCAGTGTCACTTGTAAACAGCTTTTAAATACTTGGGGGAAACCCAGTTAAGTGATGATTTTCAGGAAAGGTTATTAAACCTTTTAACTTGTAAACCTAATACCTAGCACTGGCCTCTAACTTCTGATCGCATGAAAACGTTAAAATTAGCCTGCGGTAAAAACTAATTTTTCTATGAGTGGACAGTTTTCGTGAAAGTTAACAGCAGACTTTTTTTTATCATTCCTTCAGTAGTGGTTTGCTATTCCTACACAAGTACCACGTCAACCCCAACCTCTACCCCTGTTCCAAGTGGCAGCATAGCAACGGTTAAGTCTCCAAGACCTGCCAGTCCTGCCTCCAATGTAGTTGTCTTGCCAAGTGGAAGTACTGTTTATGTCAAAAGTAAGTGATACTCTCAGTGTTGTTATTAGGATCTTCTTGGCTAAATGCTGCAGCACAGGCTCTGATTAGATTTGCCTTTTTGGGTTAAATCGTTGATCCACTGGCTATTAGCAGTGGTTAGATTTTGGAGGTTCTAAAGAATTCTTTTTTTTACATGTGACTAGCTATATATTGCTTTTTAATTAGTTCTGGGATTGAGAAATTACTTTTCTTTTGTTCTCTGTAGGGAATATGCCTTGAACAGTGATATCCTTCAAGTATTTACTTGTTTTGATTGTCATGGAATAGAAATGGGAGTAGAAATGAAGGAATGTGCTTATGTGAGTCATTCAGTGTTTACTCCTACAATTGTAATCTTTGTAGTGTTTTAAAAAATTATGGACATTATCTGTTAGATTCAGTGAAGCATTCTAGAAGGTCCATCTTTTATATATCTAATTGACTATAATTTTTTGAAGTTTTTATTTGCAGTTTTTAAACCCTTGATTCTACCCTGTAAAGCAGTTTAATATCCAATTCATTTTTTTGTTTTTTTTCTCCATTGATTTTTAGAGTGGAGGGAGGGAGGGAAAGAAGGGAAGGAGAGAAAGAGGGAGCGAAAGAGAGAAACATCGATTGGTTGCCTCCTGCACATGCCCAGATCGGGGCCAGGGGATCGACCCTGCAATCGAGGTATGGGCCCTTGACTGGAATGGAACCTGGGACCCTTCAGTCTGTGGGCCTACTCTCTAACCACTGAGCCAAACCAGCTAGGTTGATCATTTTTTAAAAAATATCTATGTCTGCTTTTGATGTTAACTAGAGACCATTAATATTTGATTTTAATTTTTGTCAATGTAGTTATAAACTTGATTTCTTTGTAACTTTTAGAGGTGGAATTAGCTGTTTTAGACAGGAATGATTTTAGGTCATTGTCAGTGTTGTTTAAATTAGAGTCTAAAAATTGAGTTATATTTTATTACAAGTTATATTTTATATCATGCTGTATACTTTTAAAATATCTTCTCTGTAGAGATTTTGTATGTGTGTTGCAAGGTTTTATGTTTCTCACTTGATTTAAAAAACAAACAAACAGTTGAGGCTTTAGTACATAAAAACTGAGAATTTGGGACTATTAAATTTATGTCTGATTTCTGTGGATTTATCCAAGATGGTCTTTTAAAATAACTTTAGAAATCTACTTTTTAATAGTTTTTTAAAACCTTGAAAGTGAATTCCAAACATAAAGTGTAGTTTGAAGTAACAGGAAGTATATTTTGGAAGTATATTGCTTAATTCTCAGAAGTTACACAGGCAACATTAGTTTGGGACAGAATAATTCATTCACTTAACTTTATATGTGCAAGGCACGATGCCAGGGAAACAATAAGACTTAGTCACATAAAGACTTAGTCATTTTCCTCTGGTACCCCTTAATTATTGGAGATATGCAGAATGACAGTCACATTGTCATGGAGCAAGTGATAAGAAGAGACTATACAAGGTGCTTTATAAGCTCAGAGGAAACATGGATTCACTGAAGAGATGGCTTGCAGGATGATGATTGCAGAATGGTGAAGTGGTCATTGATGGGAGTTAGTATTTCCCAAAGAACAACAGTATATAGAGACTTCAGATGGATAGAATGTGGTAAGGCTTTGAGGAATGGTGAGCAGTTCAGTGTACCAGGATTATAGAGGTACACAGGGTTGAGTGGAACAGGGTATTGTGTTCTTGTAAAAATATGGGACTTTGATATAGTAATAATTTTGTGCCTTATCTTGTAGGAAGATAAAAACTGTTAAAGAATTTGAAGCAGGGCATTCCCATGAGATTTTATAATTGGTAGTAGGTTGGAGGGTGGAAAAGAAGTAGAGATTAAAAGTATGAAAACCTTTTAGGAGGGTGTTACTAAAATACAGGCAGGCGATAAGAGGGTCTTGCCATCACCATAGGATTAAAGAAGGAAAGAAGGCATTCAGAGACAACTTCTCTGAAGGAGGATTGACTGATTGAGTGTGACAAAGAGACAGGTCAAGGATGATTTGATGATACAAAGATATTAAAATAAGGTATAAAATGCAATGTTAAATTGCTATAAATATAGCAATATTGTCCTTGTCTTTCAGGTGTTAGCTGTTCAGATGAAGATGAAAAACCCAGAAAACGCAGGCGAACAAACTCTTCTAGTTCCTCCCCTGTTGTCCTAAAGGAAGTTCCAAAAGCTGTTGTTCCCGTCTCAAAGACGATCACTGTGCCTGTGAGTGGAAGTCCCAAGATGAGCAATATCATGCAGAGCATTGCCAACTCCTTACCACCTCATATGTCTCCTGTGAAAATAACCTTCACCAAACCATCAACTCAGACAACAAACACAACAACACAGAAGGTATGTAATGGCAGGAGTCTCTGCTTGCCAATTGCTATTTCCGTCTCTTTCAGTACAGTTCAGATTTAACAAACGCACTGAGTACTTACTATGTGCTTGGCATTATGCTGGGAATATTCACATCTCTTTAATTCTGCACATACAGCTTTGGGATAGGTATTATTTCACTTTTTCTAGATGAGGCTCAGAGATGCCAAATGACGTGCCTAATATGCCACAGTTAGCAGATCCCATGCTTCTAGACTTCTATTCTATTTTATTATTGTAATGCTATTTGGAAAAAAATTAAATATGAAAGATTATTTTTACCCGAGATAGGATGACTTTACTTTAGGCGCTCACTTTTTACTTTGCTAGAGTAACAGAGTTGTCAGAGTTAGGTGTTTCATATAAGAAGGAAGCATATGATTAAATGAATAATTATCTTTTTATTTTGTTTGCTATCATCAATTTATTCCTAAACTCTTCTCTCCTTATGTTCGAATGATCAGTATTCTGTCAATTTCATCTTACTAGAATCCTCTAACTTCCCACACTAATCTGGATGTTGATGGCATCTTAGGCTTGTTGCATACCTGCATTTCTGGGATCTTCGTTCACTGCATCCTGATATTCCTCTTTCATGGTTTATTTACTCATTTGCTAGAGTATATCCTGCAGTAACTTCTTGGTATATAAGTGGATGGAGAGTATATTTTTGAGACCTTGCATGGTGGACTGAAAATTTCTTTATTCTACCCTCCCACTTTCTTGATGGGGAATTATTCTAGAGTGGCAGTCATTTTTCTTAAGAATTTTGAAGATACTGCTCCACTTGCCGTTGGCTTCCAGTATTACTTTTGAGAAGCCCACTGCTGTTCTAATTTCAGATCCTCTTCTTCTTTTTGAAAACTCGTAACTTTCAGAGTTCTGAAATTTCAAGGTAATTTTTTTTGTGTGAGTTTTTTTTTGTTGTTGTTTTTTTTATCCATTGGGTTGCCTACTCAATGGCCTCTTTCATTTATTTCTTTGATTTTTTTCTGTTCTCTTTTTGGATCACCTATTATTCATGATGTTGAACTGCCTGGATTGATTCTTTCGTTGTTCTTATCCTTTCTCACTCACATTTTCCATTTGTTTGCTTTTTCTTTCTGCTTTAGTATAATGGTTAAAAGCCTGGATTTTGGAATTAGACTTTCTGAATTCAAATTTCAGTATTGTATTTGCCACTTAATATCTGTGACTGTGGGAAAACTAAACTCTAGACCTAAGTTTTCTCATTTGTAGAATAGGGAAAATAATATATCCATTTTATAGGATTTTGGGGGTATGAATAAGTGAGATGATAAATGTAAAACTGTTAGAGTCTAGAACAGCCGTGGGCAAACTACGGCCCTCGGGCTGGATCCGGCCCGTTTGAAATGAATAAAACTAAAAAAAAAAAACCGTACCCTTTTATGTAATGATGTTTACTTTGAATTTATATTAGTTCACACAAACACTCCATCCATGCTTTTGTTCCGGCCCTCCGGTCCAGTTTAAGAACCCATTGTGGCCCTCGAGTCAAAAAGTTTGCCCACCCCTGGTCTAGAACATAATTAATGTTTTATAAGTATTATTTTTCTTTATTCTTTAACTTTATCCTTCACTACTTTATGGAACTTTTTATTTTTGCTCTCATACTTTAAATTTCTAGTAATTCCTTTTTATTCTCTGAAAATACCTTGTTAAAAAAATACAGCATCCTGCTCTTTCATATAGTCACTATATTCTCTTATCTGATGATAGCTCAGGATAACTTTTGATGTTTTCTCTTTTACCTGTAAGTTCCTTTTATCTATTTGTTTTGATCTCTCTCTCATATCAGAGTTTTCTTACATGCTGGGTTTCTGCTTATATGTGAAAGTGGGTATTATAAAGCTGACAGAAAATTCTGTGTATAGGGTGAGATATGTTGGCTGGTGACTTGCTTTGTAGGTTGACCTAGCTGGTTGACTATCCCTTTACCTCCATTAAGCTGTCACCCTAATTTGGGGCTTTTTCATGGACTGGTTAGTTTCCTCAGAGGAGAATTTTCCCGTTTCCTACCTAGAGCAGTAAATCTTTCTGTCCTTATTTTGAAAGTAAATGGAGAGAGAGGGCTGGGTAACCCCATCATTAAGTATATAAAGTTTACCTCTCTGTTTTCAACATAGCACCCACTCCACTCAGCCTGGTGTCATCAAATTCCCTTGGATTTAGTCTTTCTTTAGGATGGGGGAGGATAACTGGGGATCTAAATGCTATTTAAATAGACTTTCAGCTAATTTTTTCTCTCTAGTTCAACTTTTATCCCCACTTCAGAAGTATTTGGTGCTCTCAGTTGCTGAGTCTTTCAGGGGTTCTCTGATGCAAGTTGTCTTGTTTTCTGTTCTTCTGTTTGTTATCTTATGTTTTCACTTTCTTAGGAATGCTTGATCAATTATTGTTTGTCTGTTTGTTTTCCAGTTTCCAAAAGTTTTATAGCTGTTGTCTCCTTTCCATTTTGACCTTCCAGGTTTATGTGGCTCTTTCCTTTAAAAAAAATCTGTTCATACTGTTAGAGGAATTTGGGAGAGAGTGGAGGTGAATTTTTGTGTTCAATGTGTGATCTTCCCACCTTTCAATCTTCAGATACATTATAACTTTCATTTAAAGAATCTCCTTGAGTTTTCTAGAAGGATACCATTACATAATATGGAAAAAAAATATCATTTTCTTAATAAAGTAGAAATGATAATGAGTTGATCTGCAGAATTATAATTCTATTTTCCATCTTGGAATGAGGCATTATGGTATAGTGTTATAATCAAACAAGAATATTTCTAGGTAAAGAGGCCTGGGATGGAACCCCAGTTCTTTCAAGTTTGATCTAAGATAAATTAGTCTTTTTAAATCTGTTTACCCATTTGTGAGTTGAGAATAATGCCAATCTTAAGAGATTATTGTGAGGATTAAATGAGATTGGGTATTTTAAAGTACAACATCATGTGTGTACTCAAAAATGTTAGCTCCTTTCCAATGCAGTTATTTTATGGAAAGCAATGTTTTATTTATTTGCACCATTGTGAGTGAGCTGTTTCAAGTAACTGAACTCATCAATTAACTGAAGCTTACCCCTTAATATGTAGAAATTGACTATTTTTGATGACTTCTTAAAAGTTACATTGAACATAAATTTTGCATTTGTAATTTGATGTCTTTCTGAATATCACTTTTTATATATTATTATAATATAATTATTGCTTTCTGGGCTAGCCCTATATTAGGTGGCATCACATACTATATTCTATAAGTTTTTAAGTCAACGTATTGTAACTTTTTTACTGACTTCTTTGCTGGATCTTATTTTGTCAGTAATTCTTCTCTCCCCTACCTTCTCTCCTACTTTCTAAATTTGGTATTTGAGAAATAGTGTAGCAAAGTTATAGCTAAAAAAGCACCCACCTCCTATCCATGCCTTTCTATTCCCTTACTGTTTTATTTTTATTTGTTAGGCTTATAACTAGTTGACATCATATTACATATTTGTTTATTTCCTATTAGAGTAGAAATTGCTAAGGGTAGAGACTTTGTCTTACTCATCACTGTATTCTTCAGTGGTTAGAATAGTGTCTGGCATGTAGTAGGTGTAATATTTGTTGAATGAGTGAATGAATGAATGAATGAATAAATAGATTTGGTTCCAGTACTGGCCCTATCACTATTCTTGAACCTTAGTTTGCTATAAAACAAAGTTAATGATAGTACTTACTTCCTAGAGTTATCAGGATAATTAAATGAGATGATTCATGGAAAGTGCTTTACACAGTGCATATGTTGAATTTTCAGTAAATATCACCTAACATTATTAACCGTTCAATCTTCTTTGGTAGACCTATATAAGTATACTTGTAATAGATGGAGGTTTACTTGTAAGTAAGTTGGTGAACTTTTTTTTTTTTTAATTTAGTGACTTTATTTTTTTCTTTCTGACTTATGAAAATGGATAGTTGAGGTTGTCACACTTGTGGTGTTTATAAGAGGGTATATTTATCTCCAAAGTCATAAATGAGCCATACATGAAATTTTAGGCTCAGAACTTTAGATTTGTTCTGTGTTTAAAAAATAAACATTTAAAACAAATTATGTTAAAAATAAGATTCATTGATTCCTCAAATATTTATTATTTACTGTGTTCCAGATACAAAACTACTCTTACTTCATGTACACTCAGTACCATTAGTTTTATTATTTCTTGGACAAGCTGAGTATGGGTAGGACTAATAGATATTGTTTGTTTTCATTTTGCTGGGTAGATGGATTTTTTTGAAATCTTTGTAAGGCTGTTGACATTATTGTATTCACCTTGGATTTCTCACAAATCCTATGTAAGTCAACTTAGGAATTATTTTAGGTAAAGTGACTTTTATAAAGTGACTTTTACATTAAATATAATTATTTATGATTTTGTGGACTTGATTCAAATTCTAATAGGTCATATATTTTCAGGGTAGACAAACTTCCACCTATGTTAATGTGGTGCCATCATTTTAAGTATAACATTGTATAGCACTTATATAAAAAAAGCAACAGAATATAGCTTTATGCTTTCATGTGCTTGATTTATATTTTTCATTTTATCCTTAGGGTGCAAGTCCCAGCACTCTTAAGGAGTTTTTGTGAGTGCTAGAAGGTCAGTAATTTGGATTATGGCCTCAATAAACACTGTTTGGTTCACTTGGTTTCAAAATCCCTTTATTTCCCTGTTGTAATAAGTAACTTTAAAGTACAAGTAAATTTTCTTCAAGGTGGATCTCTAATTTTGAATAATCCCTTTTCAGATAAAAAAATCAACCCACAGACTGAAATTTCAAATATGTTTTATCTTTGTATCTATAACCTAAAACATGCTCTTAAAGACTCCAGATTTATTTTGCTGAAATTATGTTGTCTTAATGTTAGAAGCCTACATTCATATTCCAGTTCTGAAATTGCAAATATTTGACACAAGTGTGAATGCTTCCCCTTCCCTTGCCCATGATAGACATTGCAAATTAACTGTGTCATACTTTCTTGCCAAACCTTGGCGAGTCCTCATCTGTGCCACAGAGTCCTTATAAACACTATGCTTGAGAAAGCTACTACTATTAGTTCAGAATTGGCAAATGTGAAACCTAATTGCCATTACTACACTAATTGGTTTGGCTGTGTTAGTAGCTATGTGAATTCTTTGAATACACAGGGCTATCAGAATTTTGGAAAAACCTATCTAAAATTTTTTAATGTAACAAAAATTGAGTACATTATATTTCCAGATTGATTTGGTTTATATAATACCTTTGCTGATATCCCGTTAACACTTATTAAGTAGTAATAATAAGCTACTAATAAGTACCATTTGTTGACTGCCAAATATTGACCATCTGCTATGTGCCTAGCACTGTGTTAGATGCTTCACATCATTATCTCATTTAATCCTTGTAATGATTTGCAAGGTAGGTATTATTATCCCTATTTTATAGATGAAAGTTGGAGCACAGAGATTTGAAATGTGTCCAGGGGTCACTATTTGTCAGTGGCAGTGCAGGATTAAGCTCAGGTTCTTTTGACTCTTAAGTTTCTGGTCTTCTTATTATATTGGTCTACTTCTTCTCAGTTTACATAATGGCTGATGGTTGTTTTTGTAATAATAACTATATAGATATTTGCTGATCAAGTCTATATAGAAGTATGCTGGTCATGATGTGTATTTGTCTCTTGAGTCCTTAAAGTAATGGACATGTACTAATTCTCTATAACACTTGAAATATATATATAATAGAGATGGACTTAAAGCCTCTTTGAGATGTAGGTATTGAGTATAGACATACTCAGTAAATTTTGACTAACTGATTTAACTTCAGGCCTTCTGTAGGATTGATATAAAAATGAAAAAGAATCTCTCCCTTAAATTGTTTGGATTTTTCAAAACAATTTTTCTGCCCTTGGTACAAGAAATTTTGGTAAAAGAGGAAAAAGACATTCAGCTCTGTTTTGGGTATCACTATACCACCATGACACCAAGGATAAAACTGTGATACTACAGATTTGTAAATGATTTTTGTGTTCTCAACTGTAAAATAGGGATAATAATAGTATCTGCATCATAGGATTGTTGAGAGATTTAAATAAGCCAATGCATATTAGCTCTAGGAGCTAATCTTGATTTTTTTTCCTTTAACCTGATCATTTCCATACATCAAGTCCTATTGACTTTACCTCTCAAAATAATCTGAAACTGCTCACTTCTCTTTATTTCCACTAACACCCCAGTTCAAGCAGCCTCTATTATTGCCTGGTCTACTGCAATAGCTTCTTTACAAGTTTCACTGCTTCCACTCTTGCATCTTATCACATAGCTGCTAGAGTAATCTTTTAAAATAAAAATCAAGTTTTGTTGTAAAACCATCCCATTGTTTCCCATTATAGTTAGTATATAATTTAAATTCTTTACTCTGGCTTACAAATTTGATCTGACCTTTGCTTAATTTTTCCACCCCCTCCTTGCTCTATATGGTTTTGCTACACTGGCTTGCTTTCTGTTTATAACTACATTGAGCTAATTCCCACCTTAGGACCTTTGCTATCCTGTTCTCTTTGAAATGCCTTGTCCCTATATCATTTAGAGTTTCTTAGCTATATTGGCTAAACTTGAAGTCTCTTTCTTGCTCCCTGCCCCCATCCCCTTTTTTTCTCAGTTCTCTGTATCAACCTATGAGCAAATCCTGTTTTTTCTTCTTTAACTATATTCAGAATCTGTTCACTTTTCACTATTTTTACCATGAACACTTTGGTCACCATCACCTCTGTTTATTGCAGGAGGCTCTTAATTTTTCTCCCTGTTTCTATGTTTCTACTATTTCTGCTCTACTATACTTTTCACCTAGTAGATAGAGTAATGTTTTCTTTTAAAAAAACACACACACACAACTTTATTTTTTGCCTGGGCCAGGTGGCTCAGTTGGTTGGAGCATCATCCCATACACCAAATGATTGTGGGTTCGATTCCTGGTCGGGCATACCTCCTAGGTTGTGGAGTATTTACAGGAGGTAGCCTGTCGATGTTTCTCACCTCTCTCTCTCTCTCTCTCTCTCTCTCTCTCTTTCTCTTTCTCTCTTTCTTTCCCCCGCCTCCCCTCTTCCTCTCTCTCTAAAAATCAATAGAACATAACCCCGGGTGAGGATTAAAAGTAAACTAAAAATAAAAAGGACTTTAGTTTTTAAATAGTTTTATATTTAGAGAAAATAGAACAGAGAGTTCTCATATACCTTGTACTAAGTTTCCATTATTTTTAAGATTTTATATTAGTGTGGTACATTTGTTAAAATTAATGAACCAATATCGATGCACTGATATTAACTAAAGTCCATGGTTTATTCACATTTTTTTGGAGTTTTTACCTATTGTCATTTTCTGTTTCGGGATACCTTATTGCATGTCTTCTTAGGCTCCTCTTGGCTGTGAAAGTTTCTCAGACTTTCCTTATGTCTGATGACCTTGACAGTTTTGAGGAGTAGTAGTCAAGTGCTTTGTAGGATGTCCCACTATTGCAATTTGTCTAATGTTTCCTCATGATTAGTCGAGGGTTATGGATTTTCAGAAGGAAGGCCACAGATAGAAAGTGCCATTTTCATCATATCAGATCAAGGGTATTTACAGTCAACATGATCTTACATCATCTAGTCCTCCATTACTTCTCTGAATCTGTCTCCTACTATGCTCTACCTTATAAATTCCAATCCTATTTATTAGGTCCTTGAAGTTTCTTGAACATATCAAGTTTGCTTCTGCTTCAGGGCCCCTGTGTTTACTGCTCCCTGTGCCATTGGATACTCTTCCTGTAGGTAGCAACATGCTTCTCGCCCCTTCGTTGCTTACTTCTAGTTTCTGTTCAAATGTCACTTTATCATAGAGATCATCATTAAATACTATAGAAAAAGTCATAAAGCACTCCATTATCTTTTATGTCCTACCTTGCTTTATTGGCTCTTCCAACATGACATGAATTTTTTATTTGTTTATTATTATTCTCTCCCCCCCACTAGAATGTAATTCCATGAAGTACAAACTTTGTTTTGTTTATTCCACTATCCCTAGCATCTAGAATCATGCCTGGCACATAGTAGATGCTCAACAAATATTTACAAATGAATGACTATTCAAATTACTTTCTAGAAAGATTGTGCCAATATATATTTCCTAAGCATTATGTTAACATTCTTACTTTGCTGTGTCTTGAACAGCATTGCATGTTGTCTTTAAAAATATTTGGTTGGTAAAAATTTTTCATTTAAATATTTTTAGTTATGTATTTATCTCTGTTAAATTGTTTCTTCATACTTTGTTTCATAAGCTATTTTTGAATTATATATAACGGCAATTCTAAATACATTAGTAGTATAGCAGGTATATGAAAATAACTTATTTTTCGTTTCTTAGGTTATTATAGTGACCACATCACCAAGTTCAACCTTCGTGCCCAATATTCTCTCCAAATCCCATAACTATGCAGCAGTCACTAAGCTTGTACCAACATCAGTAATTGCTTCCACAACCCAGAAGCCACCGGTGGTTATAACTGCTTCACAGTCCTCTCTGGTCAGTAGTAGCAGCAGTGGCAGCAGCAGTTCTACACCTTCACCTATCCCTAATACAGTTGCAGTAACAGCCGTGGTATCTTCCACACCATCTGTGGTCATGTCAACAGTAGCACAAGGTGAGTGGTAATTCACCATGTAATTCTGTTCCTGTGGTATATGGGAATTTTGAAGAGAACTCTTATTTTTCTGCTTTGGGTCTGAAGGTCTCTCCTGTTTCATCACAGATTACAACTTTCCTTCTCCCAGTCTGAGAATGTCAAGATAGTAGGTTACTCAGTTTTCTTATATTAATACTAGAGACCTGGTGCACGAAATTCCTGCACTCGGGGGGTGGTCCCTCAGCCCAGCCTGTGCTCTCTCACAGTTCAGGAGCCCTCCGGGGATGTCTGACTGATGGCTTAGGCCTGCTCTGGCAGTCGGATATCCTTAGCACTGTTGTGGAGGCAGGAGAGGCTCCCACCACCGCCGCTGCGCTTGCCAGCGTGATCCCGGCTTCTGGCTGAGCAATGCTCCCCCTGTGGGAGGACACTGACCACCAGGGGGCAGCTCCTGCATTGAGCACCTGCCCCTTGTTGGTCGGTGCACGTCATAGCAACCTGTCGTTCCCACCGTTCGGTCGATTTGCATATTAGCCTTTTATTATATAGGATACTTCAAGATTTTAAAAATTCACATGCATAGTATCTAATCACCAAGGTAATTAACATTCCCCAAATATAAATCTTGTCCCAACAAATTTCAAAGGCATATACAAATATCCTATATAATAAAGAGGTAATATGCACGCCCTCACAAGATGGCTGCCTATGACCAGGCCGGCAGGGGGGTTAGTGAGGGAAGACCAAATGACTGAACAAGCAGGCTGTGTGGGTTAGTGAGGGACAACCAAACAACTGAACAGCAGGCTGCATGGGGTGACCAGGCTAGGTTTTTTTTTGGTGGGGGCAGTTAGGGACAACCAGGCAGGCAGGCAGGTGAGCGATTAGGAGCCAGCGGTCCAGGATTATGAGAGGGATGTCCGACTGCCAGTTTAGGCCCGGGTACTGGATTGGAGAGGGTGCAGGCTGGGCTGTGGGGACCCACCCCCGTGCATGAATTTCATGCACCGGGCCTCTAGTCTTTAATATAGTGGGATTTTCAAATGAGGAACTTGAAAGTACTTTACTATAGGTTCTTCTTAGGCACTCAGTTTATAATTATGTACTCAGAGATATCAAGTATGTAACCTCTTCAAAGTAAGTTACCCAGTGATAAAAAGTAGGGGGAAGAATATGATTTCAAGGACATGCCATTTGTCTTTTTTTAATCTCCTACATTTTTCTGTGTGGGTGGTAATGGGAGATATTGAGAGGAATTGAGGCTAAACTGAAGGACAATTGCTTCTTTATAGCAGAGGAAAGGAAATGTGGAAACATTAATTTTCTGTTAGCTTAAATCAGTTTAGATATCTTCTATATTTTTATGTTCCTCCCAGAGGAAAGGTGAATAGCACAGTTAAGAAATTTTTATTTTGCGGGGTTGGTAAGTCTTAAGATGGGGATCAGAGAGAAGTATTATACAGTATTCATACCCATGGTGTAATCTATGAAAAAGGAACATAGAAGCAACATAGAACAGAACTTAATATTAGTTTTTATTGGATTTTACTTGAATAATATATAGCTCAAGGTAGACTGAGACTGGGAAATACAGTTTATGAACTAGTAGCAAATGTAAGCAGTTGATTAGGAAAATAGTGTTTTTCATAATTGCTTTAATCATGTTTAGTGTATTCTATATAACTCTGTTAGTAAGGAAGAGGTTACATAGATGCAATGTGGTCAGTATTCCTTTTCTATAGCCCTAATGATAGAATGTGAGAGCATCTGTTATTATTTTCTGGCTCTAATACTCATTTAATGTCTTAATCAATAACAATAAATAGCAGGCTTGAAATTTTCTTTTATTTGTTACCTTAACTGATTTTTTAAAAAATCGTTCCAACTTTTCTATTTGTGCAGTAGTAAACTATAATATAGCATTATTAAAAATATAAATGATTTTATATAGAAAGTCTGTTTAAAATGCTGGTTGTAAACATGATCTAAATTCATCATTTCAAAATTTGAAGGTGAGAGAAGCAAAGGCCATTTGTCTGCTCACCTGACCTTATATCAAAACCATTATCCATTGACAGTTGTTTTTCCCTTCCAGTCCTCATTACACAGTTTGCTAAAGTTTTACTATATTAGAAAGGTTACTGTTCTTCCAAGTTTTTATTTGAGATAAGAGGGCCATTCTTCTTGGTTACAAATGAATATCTTTAGACAAATGAATATTCCATGCTTCTGTTTTCATTCTTAATTTTCTCCAGCTACCCTTTGAAGCTCTTGGGAATTTAGGACTTTCCTATTTTCTTTTTGCATCCTGTATCTCTCTGTGAGCCTTAAGTAGTTATTTACAGGGGAGCTGGACAAGACGTCTCAGAGATTTCTCATGAATTCATTGAAATTCAGTAGAGCATGAGGGATATAAAAGTATCTGAATGTAGATAGTGAAGGAAACTATGATTATTTGAGTTGCTGTTTGAGATACTTAATTTTCATATTATTCTAAGAAATGAAGGCATCTTCTTTTTCAAAAGGTAAAATTTAATGGGATGGTAATATACAGACTGTAGTTGTGATTCTGACTACAGGTCTTCTGTAGCCCCTCTGTGAGTACCAGTGTCTACTTTTGTTGGAGGTTAAAGACAGGCTGTTTTCGAGCTCATATACCTATATATGGTTATTCTTGTAGGGGCAGCTGGTGGAAGAAGGAAAGAGTCTTATAGCAATAACTTGGTGGGTGACTCCATGTTATAAATGTAGAGATGGTTCCAAATGTAGAGAATAGGGGAATTGTATATGGTTGGCTCATGCTGTGGGAAGGGAAAGGAACTCATTAATATTAGGAATATCAGAGTGCTTAACATTCTGATGAGAATGGTAGTTCTGAGTTGGTCATCTAGAAGAAAGGATGATTAAAAAACTTATTATGAAAAATTCCAAACATATAAGTAGAATAGTAAAATGAAACCTTAGGTACCCATTACCCAGCTTCAGGGATGTACAGTACTTGGTCAGTCCTGTTTCACTTATACCTGCTATTTCCTTCCACATACTCTTGTATTGACCAGGAATGTTTTTAAAGGTATCATATATATATTTTTTAAAAATCATAATGCCACACCTAGAATTTTTAACAATAATTCCTTTTTGTAATAATAATTTATTGATATAGTAAAATATCAAGTTAGCATCTAAATTTCTTTGATTATGTGTTTGAATTAAGATCTAAATAAGATCCACATTGCATTGATTGATATGGTTATTGCTATAAGACTCTTTCCCTCTTCCACCAGCTGCCCCTTAGAATTGTAGTGCAAAGAAATTCAACAAATCTGGAAGCTAAGGCCCGGAGAGTCAGAGTGACTTCTTAAGATTTCTTTGGTGCTCAACTAGTCCTGTCCTTTTCAGTGGGAGCCTCTTCAAGTTGGCTCCTCAATTGTTTTGACACAACCACATTAGTCCTTAATAGCTTCCTTGTTTTGTGGTATGACAAGATAGGTTCATCTTGTACATTTCCCCCCCATATTTGGAATTAGACATTTCTTCAAGGAGCCCTGGTTTCTTAGTGAGAAATTGTGCTTAGACACCACAGTCTGAGCACTAAGGGGATGGTCATTGTTTCTGGATCTTTTCTGTAGACAGAGCTAGAATCCTTTTTTTCTTTCAGGGAGGAAAAAACATTGTGAGTTTATACTGATATTACCAATTCCAATTTAGAATTATGAGTGTGTTTTTTTCTATTTGTATAATTGTATCTTTCTCCACTTACACTAAAAATCTTGGTTCCTAATGATTAATAAAACTATATGTATTTGACTTATCCTATAATATATATTACAGAATAACAAAACCAAATGATAACTGACAATATGATTACTGAGTAGAACTTAAGATTTTATTATGGTTCTTTTGGCTTTTAAGAGTATTCTCATTATGGATATATAGTTGAATTACTGTATTTTAAAGTCACTTGAAATTTTTTTCTCTGTGGTGAAGCTCTAATTTAGTATACAATTAGGTTAATGTGTTTTGTTTTTATGGATTGTAATTTAAAATTTTTCAACTTAATTTTATTTATAATTACATAAAATATTTATAAAGTTCCAAAGTCAAATCCACAAACAAGGTGTGTTCTGAGAAGTCTACCTTTGATCTACAATTCATATACCCTGTTTTGTTCTTTCCTGGATAGGTAATTTTTTTTTCTTTCTTTAATTTTTAAAAATATATTTTTATTGATTTCAGAGAGTAAGGGAGAGGGAGAGAAAGATAGAAACATCAATGATGAGAGAGAATCATTGATCAGCTGCCTTCTGCATGTCCTATGCTGGGGATTGAGCCCTCAAGCCAGACATGTGCCCTGACCAGGAATCAAACCGTGACCTCCTGGTTCATAGGTTGACGCTCAACCACTGAGCAACACCACCTGGGCTCAAGTACTTCTCATTCTGTGATTTTACTTGATCCACACAGCAACCCTTAGAATTGTAGTGCAAAGAAATTCAACAAATCTGGAAGCTAAGTCCCAGAGAGTCAGAGTGACTTCTTAAGATTTCTTCTCCATCTTTATTATTCCTCAGAAACATTTTACATAAGGATGTGATATTATTTTAAATTTTTTCTGCAATTTAACAGAGAAAAAATAAATTTTCTGTAATGCAATGTCATGGTGGGGATGTGGAGGAACATGGGATATAGGCTAAGTACTTGATAATCAGGCTATTAATTTATCAGTTTCTTTTCATTGTTTCAGTAGTGCTCAAAAAGTTGATATGGTGAGTTATATTCAAGATTCTTTGTTAGGAATATTAATTCATTTACAAATAGTAATCCTATTGTATTGTTGATGAATTATAAAGCTACTGATGAAAAATCTGGGACAGGGAAGAATTTCTTTGAAACTCATAGATCTTTAGTTGAAGTTACTGGTACTCCTTACTTATGCACATTTGCTAATGCTAGTGTTGCACTGAAAAGAAATGTCTTACAACCTTTAGTCATCAGAATTTTCATTTTGCTCTGGATATATTGAGTATGCTCACTTGTAACTTCATATTATTATTTAATGACCCAGTTAGAGTTCTGAAGAAATGACTTTAATTTATAGATTATTGGAAGCGAAATAAAGAAAAGCTACTTTGCCTTGCTAAATAATTCAAAAGATAAATGTTTCATTGTGAATTATTTTATTTATAAATATTTTTACTGATTTTTTTAGAGAGAGAAGCAGGGAGAGGGAGTGAGAAAGAAAAACATGGATGTAAGAGCAGAACATCAATTGGCTGCCTCCTGCAGACCCCGTACTGGGCGGGGAATCGAGCCCACAACCCGGGCATGTGCCCTGACTGGGAATCAAACCAACAACCTTTTGGTGCATGGAATGACATCCAACTAACTGAGCCACACCAGCCAGGGCAGTTATTTTATTTCATGCCATGTTTAAATTGTTTAAATTGGCTCACTAGAACCTAAAAAGAAATGTAATAGAAATAATATTTAAAACTTAGTTTACTTTGCTTTTATATCACATTAAGAACTTATATTTTCTAATGGAAAATCTATTGAGAAACACGTTTGAGAATATCCTGCTTGATATTTTTGTTTCTTTTGTGTTAACTCTTCACCAAGGGAAATCTGTTTTTTTTAGTGTGAGAGCAATAATGCCTCCTCCCTTGCAGCATTTGGGGATTAAATATCTAATATGTAAAGTATCACACATTATATCTGACATACAATGGGTGCTTAATAAATTATTGCTCTTATTGATTTACCTAGTTTGTGATATCTACTACAACAACTAGAAGTAACCTTAATTATGCTTTACTATTGAGTTTTCTTTTTTCTCACTCTTCTACAGGTGTATCTACATCAGCAATCAAAATGGCATCAACCAGACTTCCTTCCCCCAAAAACTTAGTGGGTACCCCAACTCAGATTCTTGCACAGTTTCCTAAACAGCATCAACAGTCTCCTAAGCAACAGTTACATCAAGTGCAGCAACAGACACAGCAACAGGTGGCTCAGCCTTCTTCAGTATCTCATCAACAGCAGCCTCAGCAGTCTCCTTTGCCACCTGGTATTAAGCCTACAATTCAAATCAAACAGGAGTCAGGTAACTGGGAAATGTTTACAAGATACTATAATCCTTCTCTTATCACCAGCTCTCAGAATACCACTAATATATATGGATTTACTTCCATATATAGTTTCCTCAATTACCAGATTTTTAAATTCCAAAATGTATTTTGAGACCCTCCTGTTGGAAATACCTATATAGAAAGAACTGGAGCTTGGAAATAGAAAAGGAATAAAAAGCAGTTTGCACGGCAGGAAGAGGTTTTTTGTTATTTTTTCAATGAACTCTCAAGAGAGATAAAGAATGCTGAGGAAATAAACCCATATTTTAGAATCATACTCTGGGACCTGTTGGGGTCATGGGAAGTGAACACTTGAAAAATTAGTCTGGGGGAGTTGTGTGTTAGAGGGCAGTTCATATTTATGAATAATATGACAAAATTTTCATGAGCAGAAGAGGTGCTAAGATTATAGACTACTAGAGGCCCGGTGCATGAATTGGTTCATGGGTGAGGTCTAGCCGGCCTGCCCTGATCAGGGCCTGGGGCCAGCTGGGGGGAGGGGCCACAGGTGGATGGCCAGCTGGCCCCGCCCCCAATTGGGGTAGGGGGGGTGAGGCTGTGGGCGGTTGGCTGGCCAGCCCCACCCCCTGGTCAAACTCCTGGTTGAACTCCCAGGGGACAATTTGCATATTAGCCTTTTATTATATAGGATTGTGTACAATGAAGAAGTTTGTGGTTTGTAGGATAACAATTTAGTAGTTTTTTGAAAGCATCTCCAGCACAATGGGAACTCAGAGGTAGGAGTCAATTACTATAAGTTGTCAAATCATAAAAGTGTTGAATACAAGGGCAGGTAGGATGGAGGCTGAGTCACAGGGAAATTAAAAAGCCTCTTAACATACTTAATATCTTTAAAAGAAAGGAAAATGGATGTTTTTTCTCAAATGAATCTGGACTTTCTTTGGTGATAGAACAGTAATTTGGAGGATCTGACATTTTCTATTTTATTTTTTTTGATAGGAACATTTATTTTTTTGAGATAGTTGCTGTATAACATTGTATTAGTTTTAGATGTACAACATAATGATTTGATTATGTATACTAGTATAAGGGTAGGCAAAAGTAGATTTACAGTTGTGAGTGTGCAAAACAGTTTATTCTTGTATTATTTTCCATTTGAACAACTGTAGACCTCCTTTTCCCTATCCCTGAATACTGCAAAGTGGTTAGTTAATATCTGTCACCACACATAGTTACAAACTTACTTTTTTATGATAACTTTTGATATCTACTTTCTTAGCAACTTTCAAATATACAGTACAGTATTGTTTGCTATAGTCACAATGCTGCACATTACATCCCCAGGACTTATCTACACTAATAAAAGAGAAACATGGTAATTAGCATACGACCGCTACCCTTCCCATTGGCTAATCAGCATATCCTTATGCAAATTAACTGTCAGCCAAGATGGCGGCCGGCAGCCATGCACTGAAGCGAACAGGGAGGCTTGCTTGCTCCAGTGATGGCAGACTCCAACGTTCCCC